TTATGGCTGTTAGTATTTGCCTTATGTATTGAGGTGCTCCTATGTTGGGTGCATAAATATTTATAATTGTTATATCTTCTTCTTGGATCGATCCCTTGATCATTATGTAGTGCCCTTCTTTGTCTCTTCTAATAGTCTTTATTTTAAAGTCTATTTTGTCTGATATGAGAATTGCTACTCCAGCTTTCTTTTGATTTCCCTATGCATGGAATATCTTTTTCCATCCCCTCACTTTCAGTCTGTATGTGTCCCTAGGTCTGAAAAGTGGGTCTCTTGTAGACAGCATATATATGGGGCTTGTTTTTGTCTCCATTCAGCCTGTGTCTTTCGGTTGGAGCATTTAACCCATTCACGTTTAAGGTAATTATTGGTATGTATGTTCCTATGACCGTTTTGTTAATTGTTTTGGGTTTGTTTTTGTAGGTCCTTTTCTCCTCTTGTTTCCCACTTAGAGAAGCCCCTTTAGCATTTGTTGTAGAGCTGGTTTGTTGGTGCTGAGTTCTCTTAGCTTTTGTTTGTCTGTATAGCTTTTGATTTCTCCATCGAATCTGAATGAGATCCTTGCCGGGTTGAGTAATCTTGATTGTAGGTTCTTCCCTTTCATCACTTTAAGTATATCATGCCACTCCCTTCTGGCTTGTAGAGTTTCTGCTGAGAAATCAGCTGTTAACATTATGGGAGTTCCCTTGTATGTTATTTGTTGTTTTTCCCTTGATGCTTTCAATAATTTTTCTTTGTCTTTAACTTTTGCCAATTTAATTACTATGTGTCTCGGTGTCTTTCTCCTTGGGTTTATCCTGTATGGGACTCGCTGCACTTCCTGGACTTGGGTGGCTATATCCTTTCCCATGTTAGGGAAGTTTTCAACTGTGATCTCTTCAAATATTTTCTCGGGTCCTTTCTGTCTCTCTTCTCCTTCTGGGACCCCTATAATGCAAATGTTGTTGCCTTTAATGTTGTCCCAGTGGTCTCTTAGGCTGTCTTCATTTCTTTTCATTCTTTTATATTTATTCTGTTCCACAGCTGTGAATTCCACCATTCTGTCTTCCAGGTCACTTATCCGTTCTTCTGCTTCAGTTATTCTGCTATTGATTACTTCTAGTGTAGTTTTCATTTCAGTTATTGTATTGTTAATCTCTGTTAGTTTGTTCTTCAATTCTTCTAGGGGTTTATTCTTTAATTCTTCTAGGTCTTTGTTAAACATTTCTTGCATCTTCTCGATCTTTGCCTCCATTCTTTTTCTGAGGTTCTGGATCATCTTCACTATCATTATTCTGAATGCTTTTTCTGGAAGGTTGCCTACCTCCACTTCATTTAGTTGTTTTTCTGGTTTTTTTTTTATCTTGTTCCTTCATCGGTACAAAGTCTCTGCCTTTTCATTTTGTCTATCTTTCTGTGAATGTGGTTTTCCTTTCACAGGCTGCAGAATTGTAGTTCTTCTTGCTTCTGCTGTCTGCCCTCTGGTGGATGAGGCTATCTAAGAGGCTTGGGCAAGCTTCATGATGGGAGGGACTGGTGGTGGGTAGAGCTGCATGTTTCTCTGGTGGGCAGAGCCCAGTAAAACTTTAATCTGCTTCTCTGATGATGGGTGGGGCTGGGTTCCCTCCCTGTTGGTTGTTTGGCCTGAGTTGACCCAGCACTGGAGCCTACCCAGCTCTTTGGTGGGGCTAATGGTGGATGCAGCCCACCCACCAGCCACTCCGGGACCCTGGCTTCCTGTTCCTCTGGACCCCGGGAGCAAGGGGGCAGCTGGTGGGGGCGGGGTGGGAGGATGGCGTCACGGGACTTTATTTTTAAAGGATGAGGCTGCAGATGATCAGGCCGAATGCCTTGGGTCCTAGGAGGAAGGTACTGACGAGGACGGTGTACCCAGGGCATCTTTCAGGGTAGCATAGGAGTAAATAAAATGGGAAGCCTGTGGAAAATGTCCTGTGCCCATTTTTTAATGGGATTTTTTTTTTTTACTATTGAGTTGTATGAATTTTTGTATATATTTTGGATATTAACCGCTTTATCAGATACATGATTTGCAAATATTTCCTCCCATTCAGTAGGTTGCTTTTTCATTTTTTGAAGGCTGCGAAGGAATTTTTTTAGTTTGATGTAGTCCTACTTATTTTTACTTTTGTTGCTTTTGGTGTCAGATTCAAAAAATCATCATCAAGACCTATGTCAAGAAGCTTAACACCTATGTTGTCTTCTAGGAGTCTATGGTTTCAGGTCTTACATTTAAGTCTTTAACCCATTTTGAGTTAATTTTTGTGTACGATGTGAATATTGATAGTAGTCTAATCTCATTCTTTTGCATGTGGTTGTCCAGTTTTCCCAACACCATATATTGAAGAGACTGTCCTTTCCCCACTGTATATTGGCTCTTTTGTTGTAAATTAATTGACCAAATATATGTGAGTTTATTTCTGGGCTCTCTATTCTGTTCCATTGACCTGTTTTTCCAAATTCCGTACGGATTTGATTACCACAGCTTTTTAATATGGTTTGAAATCAAAGCTGGAGGCACCATTACTCTTAATGCACCATCCATACTTAACTTTATAATGTTTCATTTCATAAAATGTTAAGAATGAAAGGGGCTTTAGGGACTACCCAGCCAATTTCAGCCTCTACTTACCAAGAAAATGCAAATAGTTGGAGGAGTGTATCTTTCCCAGCCAAGGTCACCCACCAAGGCCTCCTCACGTCCAGTCCAGACCTCATGAGTTCCCTTCCAACTTACACTTTCCTAAATATCACTTGGCATGTATGTTCCGAAGTTTTTACAGGGAATGTTAAATATTTACACCAAAGCATAATGGAGAGGAGAGAGCAGCTGGTAGATCTCAGTAGCTTATCTTCAGGGAAAGCCAGGGGGAGCCTTAACCTAAATGGAAAATTCATTAGCAGCAGCCCCAAGAACCTTGCAGTGAAGCAGCCTATGTACAGTTCTGAAAGGGGCCCCTTCCCAGCCGAGAGCCTTGACGCCCACGCATCCCAGGCACACATCGCACATCCCTTCCCCCACGTCAGACACCACCATCTGCTTGAAGGATACTGTCACATTTTCTTCTGCAAGATCCCCAAGAAACCTCCTGAGACATGACCTCTCACCACATCCTGGGTTTCCACACTTTCCACTCTTAGTTAACTTTTGTGTAGGTGGTTTAGAAGGCGGCGGCTAAGCCCAGCTCCCTCCACTGAGGGACAGAAGGCTCACAAACAGCCTCAGGGAGGAGCCGGTGGCAGGGGCAGAGGCAGCCTGGGACCAGGAGGAAACCTCTTGTTAATCCAGGAGACTGGATGGGTTAAGTTAGGGCCAGTTGTGTTCTAAGTGAGGGTCCGGGCTCAGCCGCAGCTATTTCCACCAAGGAAATAGCTTATCTCAGTGTTCATCGTTCTGTTCCCAAAGCCCTGAACCCTCAGCTGAGTTCAGGCAGGAAAGCTTATGAAAGGTGGTACTTTCTGTCTTGGATATAGATAGGGTGCCGTTATTTGGTTTTCAGATACATACATTCGAATTGAAGACCAGTGTCATTTGAGACTTAGAATTGATTTGTGTCTGAGGTACAGAAGTGATCTGAAATTGATTTGTGTCTGAGGTACAGAAGTGATCTAAATCCTTGTTACTTGACGTGGCCCACACACCAGCAGTGTCAGCATTACGTGGGGGCCTCTTAGAAATGCAGGAACGTGGGCCCCCATGTCAGACCCACAGAGCCAGAGGTGCACTTCAGTAAGAGACATGTATGCAGATTAGTTTGACAATGACCCTGCCCTAGGATCGTTCAGATGAAAGTAGACAAGCAGATGAAGCTGAGAAAAGTGGGTGGACAAGATGAACTAGGGGTTGGGGGTAGGAGAGGGATGTGAGTCCAAAGACATGGGTTGGAAACAGTTCTCTGCAGGGCCTGCTGAGCCAGTCTGAGCGGGACAGCACTCCAGTGCACACACAGCCCGATTTACCTGTAACTCACCATGTGACCACTGACTGGGCACAGCGACAGTTTGGAGTAAAAGAAAAATTCACTTCCAGCGGTCATTTCTCCTCTCCCCACAGGGGTTGACAGCTACTAGGGAGGTGAGGCATCTGTTTTCATCACTATGAGTCTTTCTAGAAGGAGCTGAGGATCATGATGAAGCAATTATTTCCTGGCATATCTGGGCTAATAAAAAAAAACAACCCTCACCACCATCCGTTTAGTTGTAGAACTCACACATTCAAGAGGTTTCACAATGCCAATTCCATTCTTTTATTTCCTCATACCACACTTTACTGCCTTTTTATAAACTGAATTTACACAAGCAAATTGCAAAGGAAAAACAGGTGTTCTTTAATCCTCCAAAATGCATGTATGAAATATAGCACAAACCCTAGTATCTATACATAAACAGGTTTAGCTGAAGCTTTATGGCAATTTCTTAAAATTAGCATGACAGTTTAGATATTTATGCCTGTAAAGTTTGCATAATCTACTATACATAGTTTTTTCAGAAGCAGTTTTAAGACTTTTAACTAACTGGGGAAAAAAAACTTCAACAAAAAGCTCTAACAATTCTGTGAAACTTAAATTATTTACAATTAAACATTTAGGGTCCTGATTCACAAAACATAGTGCATATCATGATTTATGAGTTTCACAGAGAAGGTAAGTAGTATGTAGAATAATCCCCAGGTAAAATCTAGAGTGAATGGCTTTTAGAAGAATGTCTGTAATATGCTTACTGGAAACTAGAGAAAAAGTAACAAAACAAAAACTTCAACAGCTGCGTTTGATTTGAAAATTTAAGTAGACAGCCGCAATCAGAATAAACAGGTGACCACAGCAGAAGAGCTGGTGGCATTTTTGACATTCCTCTTGGTATGTACAAGAAGAAAAACGATTCTCCCCCTTTTTTCCATAAAAAAATTACCCCCAATAATCACTACACGTGAACTCAGAGTCTTTCTCCAGAGTTGTCTTCAAACTTGATGCCAAAATTAGCAAACGTAGACAGAAAGTACTGTCAGTTCAGTGGGTTCTGTTTAGTGGGAAAAGCTTGGGACAGGGTTACCGAGGGGTTAGCTATTCCAATTACAAAAGAATCATCATAGATAAGGTGCCGGAAATCTAAGCTTCCCCTCAAAGCACTTTGGTGGATTCAATAGTGATTTCATGTATATGCCAAAGGAGATGACTCAAAGAAAATTAGCAGGACAAACTGTTTTCAAGGTGAAGTGATAGATTTCAGTGAATCAGGTCCAGGTAAAGTCTTTTTAAAAAACCCCAAAATTTACAGTAAACATTTTAAACTCTGGAATGCAGATATAGTATAGTCATCAGGAAGTTACATTTACAAAACCGTTTCCACAGTAGTTGCTCCAGAGTCAGAACTGAAAAATGTACAAGCCAGCTCACAAATGACTTTAGATACAGTGTTATTAAAATACATTGTTAATCATAAAAATACTTTACTATGTACATGTACACTGTATAAACTCTAGATTTGCCTAAACCCACTTCTGCCGAGCAGCGCAAGAAACAGTGCAGTGCTATTATCTGGTCCTCACACCATGCACACGGGCTGATCCTGCGGTCAGTCCTTCACTAACACGGTGAAGCACTCCTCCTTCTGCAGGACGTCTAGTTGGAAGAGTCAGTTTTACTTCCACTGTACTTTACTTTCCTAAATGCTGGTCCAAGTAACTCTGGGCATTCACATAATTCATTTGCGATTTGGTTACACTTTAAAAGAAGGCTATAGTTCATCTCGTCAGTTATTACACTGTCTTGCTTGTAGTCTGGATGGTTTGCGATGAACTCCCTCATCCATCTGGCAACTGTCATTAATTCTCCTGAAAAAAAAAAATTTTTTTTTGTTTTCAACAACTTAATGGTAGTGTTTTTTGTTTGTTTGTTTGGTTTTTTTTCTTTCGTGAGTTGACATTTATTGGCCCACATAATACAATCCTGAAGGAGAATCAGTGTGGCCTCTTCTGGTGTAGCCACGTGGCAGGGGCCAGGAACGAGCTGTATTGCGTGGCTGTAATGTTTGAAGAATTCCTCCCAGGGAAGCGTTTCATGTTGCAGGCAGGCAGCGAGAACACACACATCTCACTGCTATGGGACCTGTTAGATGCCACCCACATGGTGATGCTGCCGGCTCTAAGACACAGGAGCCAACGTGTGTGGACTAGAGCCCAAGTTCTCCCATCTGGCCAAGTCCTGCCCATTGCCAGTGTCACGAGACTGCCCCGGGACAGGAGGGCCCCCAAGTTCCCCAGAGCCATCTGATCAAAGAGGCGGAGAGAATAATGAAAAGTAGATGCATGAAGACAGAAACGGGCAGATACAGCATTTGGGGGGCGGGGTATATCCTTTGTGGATCTGGAAATTTTACAGAAGCCTCAAGCAAAATACAGATGCCACTGCTACTGTCCTCTTAGTCACGGCTGACATCTCCCCAGCCACCATGATCTCAAAGCTGTGAAAGTGGGGTTCCAGGGCGCCCCTGTAGGGAGGCAGGCTGGAGGGCCACCGTCCTAGCTGTGCTATTAGTTAACCTGATGACGGGCTTAGACTCACTGTGCAAAGAGCCCAGGGTGCCTCACGACACACACAGTCGGGCATAAATGTCGAACAGGCAATCCAGATACTGTATTTCGTTGCCTAAGAGGCCATCGGCTTAAAGATGCAGCGTTACTGTATGAACCAGTAAGAAAAAAAAGCACTGCTAATCAAACTGTGACTGTCAAAGATTACAAGGTGTATCCAACCGCCAAGATGGTACAATGTGGAAAAATGCATTGATTTAGGATACCGTATACTTTAATAAAAGACTGCTTTAAAAACTGAATATTGTAAGATTGTGAGGTTCTGCCTACGTTAAGAGATTTTTTAAAAAGCAAAGCGCAGAATGCCATACCGGATGCTCTCTTCTTAATCAGTTTCAGGTAGTTCAGAATACTGCATCTGGTGTCCACGTCCACCTCCATGTTTTCCAGGTAAGAGTTCAGGATGGGGATCAGCCCGGGGAACACGCCTTCCTGCAAGAAGCGGGGTGCGCTGTCAGCCGACTCCCCGGGGGCGGGGGGTGGGGTGGGGGGAGGGGCTGGGGGGCGGGCCCTACCTTGCCGTTGATGATGGTGTCGATGGTCATGAGCGTGTACTCCTCGGCTGCTGGCTCGGTGCTGCCCGTGGTCTTGCCGCGGCCGTCCACCATGGCATTGCCACCTGCCAGAGGGGCGCAGAGGGTGTTAGTGGCCCGTGTGGCCTACTGGGACCCCAAAAATGCAAGAGAAGGCAGTACCTTTGCAAATATCTTTTCTGAAATAAAACAATCCCTGCAGGACGGCATCTCGCTTCTGTGCTACTTTCATGTTCTCATCAACCTGAAGGAGGAAAACCATCGCAGCCAAGTCAGAACATTGCCGAGTCAGGGCACTCCCGCTCCGGCGCGTTTGGGGGCTGTGGTGCCTCGCTCACCTCATGGTCTGGACCCATCTGGGAAGAAGCCTCCCACAGCCAGCGCTTGCTGGCGGCCAGATAAGACTTTGCACTGTCATGTGGGGCTGTGTCCCTCAACCCCAGACTGCTGGGATGTGCTTTTTAATAACAACGGGTCAATTCTAAGAGAAGCTTACCTTAAAAATCAATGCGAAACTTACACTCATGTAGGCTGCCCCTCGAGGTCCCTTGAGACACCCTGGGATGAATCTATGGCACTGGGAGGTCAGGCGGCTGGTCCCTCCTCACAGCCCAGACTCACTCTCCTGCCTCTCCTGCCACCTGGAGTTGAGGGCTCTGCCCTCCCTGCCTCTGGGGTTTTGCTGCCTCATAGGCGGGCTGTGGGATCTGGAATAAGGGGACCCCTCCCAGGGCAGGTCACCGATGCTGCCTGCCCACCTGCGGCTCTGCCGTGCCCACTCCCTCAGGAGACCCCAACCCCTATTTGTGAATTCTCCATTTCTCCAGTGACTTTTTAAGACCCTCAAAGTAGAGCTTTTAAAACTTTTTAGTAGTAGTCCCTTATTTCTATAATGAAATCTTAGGGGACTCTCCATATACAAAACGGACACAGGTCAGAGGTCATGCTGAAGAGGGATAGTCAGTACAGAGTCTTTGATTACTTAGCTTTGCCCCCTCACACTGATTAATTCCTACCATTACTTCTTTTGTTTTAAGGCACATATGACCTTTGGATTAATCTAGATACAGGAACATATTCAAGCAATCTAAAATTCTATCATGGCTAGGAACATCTGGCTTCATTTCTAATAACGTTTGTATTTTTCTTAGTCTTGACAAAAATTCACAAAGATCATCAGTTTTAATTTCTGCTTTTATGAATTCCTTTTAAAAAGCTGTAATTTTACTACAGCTCTTTAGATTCTTATTTAATTACTCAGGTGTGATTTTCCCTTAGAAATTATCTTTGCCGGCATCATTTTCCTAAACAATCTATAATTCTAGTTTTTAAAAAAAACTTTATTGAAGTATAGTTGATTTACAATATTGTGTTAGTTTCTGCTGTACAGCAGTGACTTACCTATACACATATGTATTCTTTTCCATTCTAGTTTATCACAGGATACTGAATATAGTTCCCTGTGCTATACAGTAGGACCTTGTTGTTTACCTATTCTATATATACTAGTTTGCATCTATAATTCTAGTTTTGACTTAATCTAGAACCTACTAGGAAAACGATTTAAAATTTCCAATAGTTAAATGTTTCCTGAACATTTTCTTGTTCAGCTTTGGTGGGAATGTATCCTATACAGTGTCTACTTCTGAGAAGTGAAAATTTTCCTTAATTAATTTTTGTTATTCTTCCTCAGGGCATTTAAAAAAGGTGTGCCATGGTATAAGATTTGTGATCAGGCGACACAACCAAGCTTATTAACTGTGTCATTTAATCCCCCTGTGGCCTTTCTCATTCTTAGATTATATGGCCTGTCAGTTACTGAGCAACACGCCAGAAACTCTGCTAAGTGACTTACTCCATGAACCCCACATGGCCTTACGACAGCCCACGTGTCTCTGTTCTACACCTGCGAACTGGGGCACTGAGAGGACAACTAACTTGTCCAGGTGAAAAAGCTAGTAAGTAGTGCAAGTGATTTATGAACTGAGTGTTCACCTGGAAGCCACATCTTACCCACCGTACTACAGTGCCTTTAAATTCTTCTTATGCTGCTGAGAAATGTTTGCTACACTTTATGTTAAAAAAAAGAAAATGGCTCTAATGTTATCTTGAAAGAGTATATAAAATTGTTTCCTGTATCTCATTTAAGACCTTCTCACATTTTGTCTGTTAAGACTTTGCCCTTCCTGAATTGTTAAAAGGTCATTATGGAGCTCTTTACTGTCAACGTCTGTCCTTGTTTTAAGTATATTTTATGCAAACAACATGTACCATTACATTGCTATATCACCCGTTTTAGCTTTTGAATAGGAGAATTTAGTCTATTCAAATTTGTTTTCATCTTATTTTACCACTGTATGTTCTCTGGACCATAATGTCTTATCTCGGCCATGGCCCCAGACCCACTTTTGTGGCACCAGGAAGCTTTTTTTCCCACCTCTTTAGCTAGGAGATTAAAGGCGACAAATTCTATTTCTATACTATTAGTGGTCTTTCTTACTTTTAGACAAGTAGTTTTGAAATTCTCTCTCCAAATGTCAAGCATTAAGAAGTATCCACCATTCCCCTCCTTCCACTATCCCCTTGCTAGATAAGATTTTTGGCTTACTTTAGTCGTAACTTGATCTTTTTTGTTAGAATCACTTAGAATTTAAAGACTAGTTTGGCTGGCATTGCTCTAATTCTTTACCCTTCGGATTCTGTAGACATCTCGCCATCTCTTCTAGTGTTTAATGTTGTAGATGAGAAATGATATCAATTGATTTTCTTCTCCCTCTTGGCAGAAAGTTTAGGTATCCTAATTTTCTCTCCTGTCTGGACAACTGATCTTCTCTTTGAGATTCAGAAATTCCTAGACTTGGGTTCTTCTTTGAATAATTCTGTCTCATCCTCAGTGGACTCTCACTCAGGGGAAATTCTATTTCTTTATTTTCTTTATTGTATCTCACATCTCTTTTGTATAGACTGTTCTCTTCTTCTAAATTTTGATACAAACCCTGAACTTTCCAGAGAAATCCTCTCATCCTTTTCCCCATAATCTCTGTTTCTTTGCCATCCTGCTGGGATGAATCTCAGTTTGGTTCCCCTAAATCACAGACTTTGATCTTCAACCACACCTGCTTACTGGTAAGCATACTGAGTGTGGCTACCATGTCCCTTGTTTCTGAGAACTCTTACGTTCCAAATGTTCCTTGGTCCACAGGGCTTGTTTATTTAAGATGTGACCTTTCTCTAGAATTTCTTCGAGGGCACTAATGAGAATTTATTTAAAAATTATTTCCAGTTTCTAAATTAACTGTGTTTTGGGACTTCCCTGGCGGTCCAGGGGTTAAGACTCTGGACTTCCACTGCAGGGGGTGCGGGTTTGATCCCTGGTCAGGCAACTAAGAGCTCGCATGCTACACGGCCAAAAAAAAAAAAAAAATTAACTGTATTTCACTGAGGATAATATACTCTGCAGGCCCATGGGCTCTTCTCTTTAAAAGTTTTCAATTTTATACTGACTTTCAGACATCTATATCTCACCCCAGAACAATGTGGGTCCACCTATATGAGGATTTTTCCAGCAGTAAATACTACAGTATTCCATGATCTGCTGCTGGTTGAATTCTCGGATACGGAGGAACTGACTATACGTTACACGCATGTCAAATGTATTTCATAAGCAAAGGCTTGGACTGGCAGCTCACGTGAACCCCCCTTACGTGAGTTCATCTCCCCAGTGGCTGTACCACATTCCGTGTGTGTGTGTGTGTGTGTGTGTGTGTATGTGTGTGTGTGTGTGCGCGCGTGTGTGTGTGGTGGAGGGAGGTGCAGGCTGGAGAAGCCCCTCGAGGAGGGTGGAGCGGGGGAGGCGCAGATGCTGGGCTATGCAGCTTTATTCATGGGACAGGGCAGCTCTGCTTCTCTTCCCTCCAGCCCTGAGCCCCGGTAGACCCTCACTCTGCCCGGCAGCCTTTCCCAGCCACTCTCTGTGCCAAGAGACCCACTGGCCAGGAACCAAAGGTCTCTATACTCACTTGGCTACTGCCCCGCGGCCCCCAGCCTTGCTGCCTCACAGCCTGGAACTGTTCCAAGGCTCTGCCGGGAAACTGCTTCCAGAAAGCTCCTTCTTGGTTTTTGTTGGGCTGAGGCTGATTCAGATTTGTTTATCCAGTAGTGCAGCGCCAACTATGTTCTCCAGAAACCTCTCCAGTTTGGTTCCATTCCCTGCACTACCGAAGTTACGCGTCCCTCCGTCCTGAGTCTAATATTGTGATTGGCCTGGGACTGGACAGGACGAAACCCATTTGTGGGAATCCGTCCCGCCATCATCTTGAGTCAAAAGCCTCTAGAAACTAGAGATTGTTCAAATGCAACCCTAAATGGCTTCCAAATGGGCTGAGTAAGGAGCTACTATTAACATTGTTTTCCAGGAGTCTCCACCAAAACGGTACCAAAATCTATAGCATAAACTTAGGTTTAAAAAGAAAAAAAAAATAGGGTGGAAGGAGAGCATTTTATTCTAAGGGAGGAACAATCCTAAGTGAGGTCAGAGTTGAAACAATTATTATACATAAATGAGCAATGGATGATAACCTACAGACACCCAGCCCTACACTGAAACTCGTCCTTACCTTTGACAGCGGGATGAGAAAGTCCAGTTTGTAGGAAAGGATCACCCTGGTGAGCAGCACCACGAACACCACGTACGCGGAGTTCTCGAAGTCTGTCAACTGAACCTGGACACGGGGCCCGAGACATTAGGGGCCCACCGTGCAAACAGCTCCTCCCTGAGAGGCCCCTGAGGGTCATGTCTTTCCCAAGCATCTCCTAACCTCCCACCTGGGTCTGGAAGCCTCTGCCCACAATCTATTCTCAGAAGCAGTCCTCCCGAGCTGCTGCACTTGCGTGTAACACGCACACACGTGATCTGTGCTGCCTTCCAAGTAACCCGAGCTTCTGACAAGGGTGCGGGTGGGTGACAGGTGGCTGGGAACGCGTGCGTCCAAGTCGGTTCCTGCCGACGGGCTGCGTACCTCCATGGGCCGGAATTCCACTCTCCATCCAATGTCGGAGTTTGGAGGAGGAGGTTTAAATCGCATTGTCTGCCAATTTGTGGACTGAATATTCTGTATTCAAAAAGCAGAGAATAAAACCAATTTTCCAGTAAGGTATTAAGATGATTTGATATTTAATACGTGAAGCAGGCTGTTTACTGTCCATACCAAATGCTCTTCAATTTACAAATACAAAAAGGTACAATTTAAGATTTTCGTGGAGCGTGACCTGCTAGGGAGACAAAACAGCAAGTGCTTAACGGAAGTCAGGTGACACAATAGCAGTCCTGAAAGAAGCGGTCGTGTTATTTTTCTGTGCAGCATATTTGCATTTTTCATTGCTATGAAAACAAGAGAAAATACTCAATGAAAAATTCAGAACCGGAGAGTAAGAATCATAAAATAAGGGTACTTGAACCAATTTAAAATCTTTGCTGCACTGGGTCATGGAGGTCATGGAGGCTTCTACTGTCATCAACTCCTTGTCCCTCCAGACAACGGCCTCCACCCTAGATAGTGAAGTGAAACGCCTTCAAAGCAGAGCAGATACCTCAAAATGGTCGGACTCATTGGCATCGTCCAGGTGGATTTTCTCTTCAAACAGAGTCAGCGGGTCTCTAATGAAGAGATGAGCCACGTGCTGGGCCAGGAGATGATCGATGCCTGCAGAGAGAGGTCACATCACTCACTTCAGAGCTGTTCTCCATGCCCAGAAAGACGGCAGGACAGCTCGAGAAGTCTGAAGAAAGGGCATCTAGAAACTTAGGAAATGGCTGGGCTGTGCAGGATTCTCGTGTCTCCCAGGATTTTATCCTATGGAGTGTGTTCGCTCGTTACACAATGCCTGTGGGGGCAGAGCTGTGGACCGAGGGACAGACCTCCAAAGTCAGCTCCTTTTGCTAAAAGTCAAGATCTCACAAGTATCTGGAACTTGAAACTTTAAGAACAAGCAGCCTCATGAGAAAAGTTAAGAGACTTCCCACTAAAAATAGAAGCCAGGCCAGGAGTCAGCAAAGGAATTTAAAAGGGATTTGAAGAACTAAAGGCTTACAATCAAATCTAGACAAAAGGAACAGAGGCTCACCTTGCTGCAAAAGCTGTTCATAGATTTCTTTGTCTTTCGTCAGGTCGATGTCATTGTATTTCTCACCGCACTCAGATAAGTAACTGTCTATTGAATCGTATCGGGACTTACTGATCCTATAGTGGTTGTTCTTCAGTGGCTAAAATTGAAAAAAATACAAATGAATGCCATATAAAATGATGTGGAAACAAACTAACGCCCCAAGTAATTATATTAAAAGCCTATATACTATATATGTAATTACATAAAACTGTCCAACCTGAACACGAGATCCCCAAAAAAAGCTAGTTAATCCTGAAAAGTATTAGAAAAATTATATTAAAAAAATCTGGAGACAATTTAAGTAGCCTGTTTTCTGATATGACTTAAATATATATTTTTTTCTTTTTCTTTTTTTTAAAGTGGATCACCTTCATTCTCATTAAGATAGGAAAATGCCAATGTTGAAAGCAAAACTATAAAACTATAATGTAAAACAAAGCTATTAAAATGATTTCTGCTTTAGAGTTTATTTCTACTTAGAAGGCATGTTCAACAATTTATGAACAATTACATAAAGAGCAGAGCATCAATAGGGCAGCCCAGTCGAGAACATCAGAATCACCTGTGAGGGCTCCTTTAGTAACATGTATGTCTAGGTCCCAGTTCTGGACATACTTACTCACTGGGCTAGGGTGGGCCTGGGTACTTATTTTTAAAGATCTCTATAGGTGGTTCTGATGCACAGTCTTGGTTGGAGAGATGCAGTTCAACATGCAAACAAGAGGCACAAACCTACCCTTATTAGGCAAACCTAACCCTCTGTAACAGGCCAAAGAACCTGACAACAGATCACACTTTCCACAACAGAGAGCACCACAGACAAAGCACTCATGTAGCACCAAAAAGCTTTCTGGTAAAAACAGCCATCAGCACTGACTCCCAAAATATAGAAAAATTGTACTACTAATTTTAGAAGGTAAGACAAATACTGGTTTCAACAAATGCTGAAAATTAACTTAACCCCCCCGCCCCCAACCAAATCACATTTCCTACATTCTCACCCCAAACACACATTGTGGAGCCAAAGACAGGTTGATAACCTGTCACCTTCTTCCCATGTGTGACTAACCCACTCAGGATAAAAATTTAAGGGCGACTTCAAAACCGTGAGTAGTGACAATATCCCCATTTTACCTGCTGGACTTAAAAGACTATTAAGGAAAATCACTCCCACCTCCAGTCCTCTCTCCTCCCGAGTTCTATCATCTACAGATGCAGAAATCACGCCCCAGCGACAATCAATGTCTGACACATAGCCTCGGTAAAAAGGAGACGCAGCGCTCAAAGCCATCTAAAAACAAACAGAAGTCAGCACCTGCAAGTTCAAAGTGTCATTTACATGCTGGAAAAAGCTCCATGCAGTTACCTCTGGTCTGGAACAATCAGTTTATGCAACCCCTACAGGTTTCTACTACATCTACTGCACCTGCCTTCTCATGGTGAAACACACCAGAAGTGACTCCAATCCTTGCCTCTGATTCATTTAAATCATCTTCTCTATACCGTGAGGACAGGCGGGATGGGAGGGGGAAAACGGCTACGCTCAAGCTCGACACTTCAACACTAAAATGCCTTTACTGGCAACGGTAAACTCTACAGGTTAGACTCTTATCCATTAGCTCTAAGTCTGCATATTATTCATGTTAGTTCAGTTCTAAATGAAGTCTTAACTGGACTTAAATATAGTACATGGTCAGCAAATTTTGCACGTGCAGGTCTTTATTTTATACAAAGAAGTAGTTAAAATTAGGTGTGATTTCTACTTACGACAATTGGGCAGATAGTGGCCAACTGATCATAAAGGTATCTGGCCTCAGATATGCTGCAGGCTTGGAACGTTACCTGTTTAAGAATCCCAAGTTATTAAACAACAACACAAAATCAGTACCATCCTCCACAAGGAGCCAAGTCTGAGAAGGAAGGTGGTTGGTCATGGCATGTGATGGTCATTCCGTTGATGACAACATTGAACACAGGATTTTTAAGAGCTGTCTCGGATGAATTTTGCTAGAAAATGGCTTTAATCATGTTCACATCTACTATAAATAACCATGTTCCAAAGTTAAGTAAGGTTAAGAAGTCAGGAAAGAAAAATAAGACCTAGATTAACAATGAAGTTCAGCCAGGCGTTTCCTCTTCCACTGACTTATTTCCTTCTACAGCTGCCCATCCACATCTGTGGGCTTGTATACATTTTGGTACAAAAGGGGGATCTGGAGATGTGAACGATGGGTTTCAGAGTTCACTGGTGGCACAATGGGGGATAGCTCGGAAGGGGGCAGGACTGGAGGAAGGAAGAGAGGGCAGTTAAAACACTGCAACTGTCCAGGAAAAAACTGAGGAAGTCTGGTGGGAAGAGGCACAGCAGGGCCAAAGCAGGCCTGGTGACCAGTGGGCACAGAGGACTGAGGAGCGACCTGGGTTTTGGCCTGGGTGCTCCTCGGACAGATGGGAAGCAGCGGCGCCAGGACACACGGGCTTATGAGGCCAAGGAAGAGCGAAACAGCCCTGTAAGCGGCTTGGTCTCCAGGGCTGGGCCAGGAAGAAAAATCTGAGCTGGAGAAGTATTTGGGGAGTAGGTCCAGATGATGTACTAAGAAGGGCAGATTGCCCCAGAAGCCCGCACAAGCCAGGTAAGTAGGACTTAAGAGTTAGACAGAGAAGGAGATCACGTAATTGATTAGTGCAAATCCTCTCAAAACAATTACCCAAAAGAAACCAAAAAAAAAAAAAAAAAAAAAAAAAAAAAAAAAAGTGCTGCCCTCTGCAGGGCTGGGGCAGCGGAAGGGGCAAGGAACGCAAACTGTGGTTGTGTTGGCACATTCGTAATAACTGCAAACTGGGAACAGTTCTCATGTCCCGCTGTTATTTAATAATGACAGTTTGGATTTTGTGTTGGTGCAGTAAATAATTTAAGTGCTTAACAGTTGAACTAGCAGCTGAGTGAATGTTTACTATTCTAATCGCAACCTGTTAGTTCCAGTAGTTTTAGCCAGGTCTCAATTTTGCTTTTCTTTGTTTTGTTTTGGCTTTTGTTTAAATGGCAGAGGACTTCTGTTGGAGACTCAAGGGTCTAACTGCTGAATTCATGGCATTTCACGTCAGTGTGGTGACTGACTACAGAAAGCAATGTTTCAGACCATTTACTGTGTCCTGACTTTCCTACCATTTCTATGTGAATTATTAAGTCAGTGCTATATTTTCATTAAAACATAATGATAGGTACCCAGCCATTACAAATTAATTCAACACATGGAGAAGAGCTGTGTCACAGGTGTAAAGGAGCAAGAATGTCAAAGGTGAAAACAGAAACTGAGAAGAACTGACAGGTCACTAATAACCCAAACCAGGGCAGTTTCTGCCAAGAGGTGGAAATGCAGAAATCAGCTTGTCTGTGGGTGGGTAAGAGTTAAATGAGAAGTGGGGGAGATGGCGAGCAGAGTATTTACAGGCTTATCTGCTGTGACCCCACCCCCTAAAGTGTAAGCCCTAGGAGGGCTGGGGTCTGCCTTGCGGTTCTCTATCCCCAGTGTGTAGGACAGGGTCTGACACCCACTTAGTCCTTAATATTTATTAAGTGAATAGAGTATCTTGAAGGAAAGAGGGTGCTAAAAAGGAGAACACAGGAGCAAAGATAAGTTTTATTTTTATAAAACGGTGGGATACTTGAAAAGCTGACCCTATAGCCCAAACTTATATGGATTGAGATCAGGAATACCTAAATGTTCCCCCAAGTGTTTTGACTGCTGAATGCTTTTGAACATACATCTCTCAGTTTATTTAGGTCCTTTTTTGAGTTACTCTTAGCTATTTTAGAGTCTGTTATTTTTGTTTTTAAGAAGATCCTACGATAAGCATTTTTTCTTTTCAGTTTTTTGATTGGCTTCTCTTAGATGGCCTAGTTTATACTAGACAATTCACAGGCAAATTCTGAAAAAGTCAACCGTAGAAAATTATGCTTAAGAAAACTGGCAATTGGAATTCAATAGCCGAGTTAGAACAGTGATACGACTTAGTTATTCTAAGTATATTTAGTAACTAGCTTCTTTACCCCAGGTCTGATTGAGCCATTGAGACATCACTGTGGTAATGGCTTTAGTGGGGGAAGAAAAAAAAGAGTTCTTAACACCTTAAAAAGATATGAATACTTTTGGATTCTGGTATCCTTTTAAAGTATCATATAAAGAAGAGAAGCAATGTCACTAGGAAACTGATGAGGGAAAAAAAAGAGAAAGTATGAAAAATTGATGTTAGAAACCTAAATATCTAAAATTTGTCCAGAACCCAGTGTTGAAGCCATAGGATTTTCTTGGGGATGGGGGGAAAGCCTATCACAATGTGCATGAACCTATTAAATGATTCCTGCAAAGTCCCCCCCACCAAGAGCCAAGAATTTGAATATAGCTGAAGTACTTTGTTCTGTACAGTAAGATGCTCACTAACCTTAAAAAACAAACAAAAACTTTGAAACCATTTTTTTTGCCTTATTGTAATAAGTAGTTTCTAGTGTTCCGCTTAAGAGATAAAGCAGAGATTTCTGTGGTGATTGATGGAATTTGTCTCATTTACCATATACTTACATGCTAAAGACTTTTAAGTGGAGTATTGAAAGTGGAGTGGCTGGACACACCACTGAGAAAAAGAAAACAACCTTAAACCCATGACAAAGCTTAAACTGGATGGAAAACTGTATCTACAAGCAATAAAAATGTAAACTACCTACCATTAGGACATATTTATTTGTGTAAACACAGTGTTCAAGGGAAAGACTATCCCTTTGGAATGGGGCAACTGTGCTGTCCATGGCAAAACACCCTGGTTTAATATTAACCCAAGAAAAAAAGGCAATCGGTCCTCCAAGAGCACTGACAGATTTTAAAGCTGTGCACTCCAAGTTCTAGAGCTTAATGGTTCTCTTTAGAAATATATGGAATTAAGATAGGGAAGCAGATAAGGCAGTTAAAAGTCAACAGGTCTCTTTTTTATGAAGTGTGTCCATCTGGAAGGAAACTCATAGTCTAGGTTTCTTTGGAAGACACACTTTATACCACCTATGTAAGTCAGGGAAAGCAGGGGAAATGGTATCCTTGGCCATGGTTATTTGAACACACTTAGCATGTAAAAATCTGACTCTGGCATTCAATTTTGATTATACATAGTTGTAAAATAAACACATTCAAGATACATGTGCAAGAAGGTATGTGTCTGTGTGCAGCTGCCTGCTGCATGATGGGATGCTGGGTCCCCAGCTGTGTGCAGGGCAGGCAGACTGAGGGCTGGGGGTGGGCTGGGGGGTGCTCATGTGGGGTCAGGCTTCACACTGCTCCAATCAGCAAATAATCAGAACTGGATAAAATCTCCTTGGATAATAACAAGAGGCCCCCCCTTTTTTTTTTTTTTTTTTTTTTTTGCGGTACGCGGGCCTCTCACTGCTGTGGCCTCTCCCGTTGTGGAGCACAGGCTCCGGACGCGCAGGCTCAGTTGCCATGGCTCACGGGCCCAGCCACTCCGCGGCACGTGGGATCTTCCCGGAACGGGGCATGAACCCGTGTCCCCTGCATCGGCAGGCGGACTCTCAACCACTGTGCCACCAGGGAAGCCCAAGAGGCCCTCTTTTTTTCTTTTGAAATTTTCAGTTTGAAACTTTTAATTTTGTGCCACTTTTACTTCTGTTCTAACAAGATTTTAAACAAATAAGGTTAAAACCAATACTGTTGTTAACAAAAACAATTAAAGAATATTAGCTCAGAGACAGACCTAGAAGCAGCCTTAATATAAACCCTTCTTTCAGCTGTTGAGAAAACCGAGACCAGAAGGGGAGTTACCCAAATACCTGAGAAGTCACAGCTAAAGCCCAGACACAGGCTTGTGGGCAGCCCGAGGGGTTCCTGCTCCCCGCTTCAGGTCCCCTGTGAGGTGGGACACCATCCCTGCCACAGGTGCCAGTAATCTGATTAGATCCAGGGGAAGTTTTAACCAAGTCATTGAGAGAAAGGCTATTCTACAATACCTCCTGTGAAACTTAGCCAGGGGCAAGGCAAACATGGGCTGCTAAATATTTATTCTTCTTATACCACTAGATGGCCTTGCAGGAAAATAAAAATTTAAAGTCCAAATAATCCTTCCCTTGGATCACAAGCTCACTGGAGTGCATCCAGAATTCATTTTCAGAAATGATAAGATTTGAGCAATGTTTACAATCTCAAAGCTAGTCACTAGATGGCAGCAAAAATTAGGCACAGAGAGAAAAGAGACAGTGACTGCGGAATATTTCACCTTTTAAGTTCATTAACAACTATGTCTTTGTAGTGAACTGTAGATTCTGTAAATTCTGTCCAGAGATAATTTCCAGTGAATTTACTAAGATAACTTCATTGGTTTTCAGAAAGAAGTACTAGCTACTATTTCAACCTGATTAAAATGTGATTTTTAAAAAGGAAACATGCACATATAAAGAAAAGAAGTTAAAAAATAGAAGCAGATGAGGACAGCTTGCCTCTCTGGATATTTGAAATGATACCTGCAGACAGCAATTGCCCATCCCAAAGCCCATAGCATCCATGTAAATGTGGTCGGGCTTAGAAGCCTTTGCTGCCTCATCATCCTCAGGAAATGTTTCTATAAATGGAGATGGTGTATTCTTGTCCTTAAATACTGCAGTATTAATTGAAAAAAAAAAAGAAAGAAAGAAAGAAAAGAGGAGGAAATAGGTGAGAGTCGAGGATTAACAACAATGGTGGGGGGGGGTCCTCTCCCACCCGCCACCTCTGTAGACTCACTTGGGACGTTGATGACAACCTTTTCTCCTCTTCTGTGCCGGATGTTCCTGGTGAGGGTACTAAAAAACAGACAACAAATGTCCTAAGTTGGTCACCTAAGAACCATCATGCAAAAGAAGAATTTGACAATATGCAAGTACATGGAATGAAATCCTCCCTCAAACTAATCCTCTAAGACATCCCTACCGAAAATTCATGTGGACCGAGAGACTGAGGGGATTTCCTGAAAGAAGCCTTTGCATTAATACCAAGTCCTCTGGTTCTTGTTTGAGAATGTCATTCTCTCTCCTGCCCAAGCCCTGATCCCCGGCTCCGTGTGACTCACCAAACCAAGCTCAAGTGTTCAAGGTCTGCCGTTGTCTGGCCTCACCTTATGTTTCTAACATTTTCCATGCTAAGTCCAAAGACTTAAGCCAAACTGTGGTACTCATGTTCCCCGGGCATCTCTGGACCTCAGAACCTCATCACTCCCTCCACCCATCCTGCAGCATTAATACTATCCTCCAGCCTGCGATGTCTGATCCAGAAGCCCCTAGGCAAGCTGTGGCTGTGAGCACTGGATGCGCGGCCAGTCCTAATTAAAATGTGCTCTGAGGGTGAACACACAGCACATTTTGAAGACTTGGTACAGAAATAAAGTAAAACTTAATAATTAAAAAATACTGGTCACAAGTTGGATATATAGAGTCAAATAAAATACACTATAAGTTCACCTTTTTCACTTTTTTAAGGTGGCTACAAAATTACTACTAAAATTACACATGTGGCTTGCATTATGGTTTTACTGGGCAGTGCTGCTGTCAATGGTGTAAATGCCACCTCTCTCAGGAGGCCTGCTTTTGACCCCCTCAGTCAGAAGCACCTTCCTCTCTCTGGTGTTACCATCTTTGGACACCTGTCATAATCTACCTTTTCTTGCAGCTGAATATCTCCACCTTCCCCTTGGCACACTATAAACACTTGATGTTGGAAACTATGTTTATATGTCTTTATCTTCCCCATGGACTCTGCATATAGCGGGTGTGCAGACCTGTTACAGGAATGAACACTGAGAAGTCACAGGTCCCTAACTCTAGGTCAGGAGCCCGGGTTCAGGATGACAGGTGAGACTCAAAGGTACAAAGCTGAGATCAGACTGGTGTGGGCCCTGAAGCAACCTGAAACCCTAGAATTAAAACTACAGACTAACAGACTTAGGAGTTAGTGGAACAGAAGGTAGAGCGTGCCTACTATATACACAGGTATTGTACATATTTTACCTTATTGTCAAGGTATATGGAGTGGGATGAGAAGACCACAGATACTGGCAGTAATTTTCAGAGGAGGAAAAGGTAAAACTGATGACAAGAAAGCTTCTCCAAACAGGTGTTAACAGAACTAGGATTGAAATGCATCTGTGGCTAAGTGAACAACTTTAGGATCACTTGGAAAACAGGCAGATCCAGCCTGGAAACAAGCAGCACCAATCGAGCAGCCTTGGGGGACCGAGAACAGGCGTAGCTGTGGGTCTGTGGGCTCCTCTGGTTAATTACCACAGGAGCTGGAATTCAGGAACCGCTCAGTAATGACTCTGGGAGGGACACTGCACCCCCAGGGCAGGGATCCAGGGATCTGAGTCATCCACACACTCACCTGAAGCGCGGGTGCTTGTTTATCGCTTCATCAGGAAAGAAGAGGGACTTGGAAGCTCCTCCTTCCACTGGGTTGGGCTTGAACTCGGGCAGCGTGAACCCAGGGCAGCCTAATCTACAACAAATTGAAGAACTAAAGAGATAGAATCTGTCTTCAGGGATTAAAAACATGCATGTGTAACGTTGCCTTTTTCAGGGGTCCGGCACACAGGTGTTCTGCAAACACTGTGCCCCTTGCAGCCACGCCTTTGCAGTCTGTCTTGCTCACCAAGCTCTTCTCTTGTGACTGCAGCCCTTTTGCCGATTTCATCAGAAGCCTCCGTCCACTCAGCGCCTGCAGAGCGCTTATTTACGTCCTGGCTGCCTTGGCTGTTTCCCCCACACGGTTTCTGAGGCGTGTTCCTTTACCAGCTCTGACCCCTGCACACCACCACCTCCCCATCAGCTTGGTTCGACTTGGGACAGGACTCCTGCTTCTTGCCTCTGCCAGGCACCTCATGAATCCGTCCAGATCAGGCAGGTTCTCTGCCGGTAACCCTGTCCATCCCCAGTATCTCCCTCTGGAGGCTGAAACCCAACCCTATTATCTCACTTGACCTGAGGAAGAGCTTTAATTCCAACAGAGAAACAAAGCAGGGTGTAGATCAGCAGTGGGAAACTTCTGGCTTGGGAGCCAAGACTAGCTGGTGCCTTATTTTCAACCTCACCTTTTATAAAACTGGCCGCCCATGTTCGCCTTGTGAACAACAACTGAACTTGCCGATCTTATCTGGAAAACAGCCCCAGCTATGATGGGGCTCCTCAGAGTTCCTGCAGCAGCTCCGTATATTATTCACCGACAGCCTGCAGCCTTAGGAAAAGCCCTTGCAGAGAGTGACAAACTGAGATCTGGGGGTCTCTCTGCTGACTGGAATCAGGCTGGAGAAGCACGTGTGTACTTGGCAGGAAGCAGGCAGCCAGGACTCAGACCCGCACCCCCAGCCCCACTTTTCCTCCAGACCAGCACCGTCCAACGGAACCTCTGCAGGGATGGAAATGCTCACGACCTGCACTGCCCAGATGGGTACTGAGCAGGTAGAAGGAGGTGAATGAGACTGAGGAACTGAACTTCTCATTGTATACAAGTCGGATTGATTTAAATGTAAACAGTCACATGACCACTGTTTGGGTTACTGGGCCACACTACAGTTGCACCTGTTTACGGAAAGAGAATCACCCTGTTTACACTGAAGAAACTGAGTCTTGCTCTCCCTCTTGATCCAGAAATAAAACTCCCCTTATCATAACTGTGGATGTAAGGTGAGCCTTCTACAAACAAATAATTATTATCTTTGTTTTGTTTACAAATCCAAAAATACCCTCTCATCATAAAAGATATGGTTAGGCTTTTTTAAAAAAATTAGATTTTTAGAATAAAACTTATTCCTAGCTCAACTCTCTTCCCTTCATAATAACTTAAGAGAAGGAAAAAGATACTTCTCTAAATGTCTGATGAGTTGCTTAAATAAGGTTTCAACTATTTATATGTGACCACAGAGATTTTAAAAAAGAAAATTCCCTTTAAGTGTCCTAAGACCAGTGGTGTGACTGTGAATGCCTATGTCCATCGTGGACATTTATCAGGAAAAAAAAAGAAAGCATAAAAATAGTTCAGAGTGTTCCAGGCCACAGATACCAATCCCCAAAGTGCTTTTGAACTTTGGGGAGGTAAGCATACTTTGCCACAATCTGACAGATATCTAGCAGAGATAACCAGATTTACAATTTGGTAGAACTGCATTCTTGCATACAGGTCCTACGTATAATTGTGTGATATTTACGTACCTCATACTAAGCTAAGGACAGAATTTCACTGTTCATATTTACCTTATATTTACTCTTATGAAACTTTAGCCATAACTAGATTTGATGACAAATCCTAAATCTTTTCAGCACAATCCAAACATGACCCAGTGACTCCCTTGTTCTTTGTTAATATGTATCAACAGACCCTGGGAGCGCTGATGCCAGCCCCCATCGGGGGGCCCCCTGATCTGATCTGGGGGGCAACGCACATCCTTCCTTGTGCACTGCTCCTTCCCCTCGGCCTGCGGAGTCTGTGGCCCTCGGGTCCTTCCACAGTCCCCCCGGCCACCACCACCACTGCCAGAGGCTGGCATATGACTCTGCCTGCAGCTCTAATGTTACAGATTCTACCAGACACAGTGTGATGAGGATGAACTGTCTTGCAAAGCATGAGAACTGTGCAGACAAGTGCTGGGTTGTGATCTGCTCTCTTGATACCCGGATGCTCTGAAATGCCAACCATGCACGTTGACACAGGGACTAACCTGGGAAACGAAGTGATTGTGCAGAGGGCCTGGTTTTCCCCCAGCAGAGATGTCGCTTCCTTGCGGCGCTTCCTCATGTTGTCCTCGACCGTGTTGAACTCAGACATGGTCCCTCCGTACGGCTGGCCAGGTGTCCCCTCGATCATGTAGCTCCCATACTCTGGTCTCCAAAGGGTAGGGTGGCTACAGAGGAGAAAAGGTTTCAGTCCATCTTATTCTTCTGCTGTAGTCCGCTCCATTTTTAGTTTTGAAAAAGTTGCTTCCAAAAATTTAGAAGCCACTGGGTATACAAGAAGCCAAGAACTCTTTACGATTCCCAGTGGCTGTTAATCTTCCACAGCTTTTCAACTACATAAGGGTTACAAGTGCTGGGTCTAAAATATTTATAAGTAACTGAGACACACACAGGGCATGCACTGTCCAAGGCAAGCAAGCCTGTCCACTCTGCGGGGAAGGACGTGGGGATTTAAGGCCTCCTTCAGTTTAAGACTGGGTTCCAAATGCAAACCCAGCCTCCCAAAATTTAGTGGGTAGAAAAATGAACTGGAGGTACATGCCCCCTTCACCTCTGTCTACTGAAATAAAGAAATATTAAAAAAACATCCTGCCAACCCATTTGTAAGTTTTCTCTGACACCATGGTTTGTGATCTTGGTAACTGCCAATTAAAAAAAATTTAAATAGTAAACAAACTTTATATTGAGTTTACTCTTCTAAGTGCTTACTAACGTATTTAGAATGTCTACACCCTAAGAGGTAGGTATTATTATTATCCCTGATTTACAGTTGAGGAAACTGAGGCACAGAGAAGTTAAGTACCTCACCTAAGGGTACCCAGCTATTAAGCAGAGGAAGCAGGATTTGAACCCAGTCAACTGGGAACCAGAGCCAGAGCCCTAAACTGCTGTGCTCTCCTGTCTCCTGTACGTGGGAGGAGACATGATATTCCAGTGGTTCTAACAGTTTCAGAAACTCTCAAAGAAGGCTTCAGTACATCAGCTTACTTTGGGTTTGTCCTTTCCCCCTTTTCTTGCAGAGTTTCAAGAAGTTCCTCTCCAGACAGTACCAGTTGGGCTTTTTTATTTTCATGATCAAAAGATACCAACATGTATTCCACCTATTGAAAATAAAGGAGAGAAAGATGAACATTCCTCCAGACTCGTGCTTGATGCGACCTTTAGGAAAAGTAGGGAAACGTGAAGCTTGGAAAGGATGACAGTGTCCTGAGGAGTCACATCTGCTTACACGATGGTGCTTAGTGAGTGAGGTTTGCATAATTCGAAAACCTGGAGAGAATGGCCAACGGTGGCCTTGTGGGACGACAAGGGCTCTTACGTGATTCCGTCTTCCTCCGTTCTACTTAACACCTTATAGAAAGGTCAGGATGCCCATTCTGACAAATTGTACTTCGAGAAAGAAGTATTTCAAAGCCAGGATTCTGTAAATTGCAGTTGCATGTAGTAGTCGCATTTTACAATGTATTTCCTCGGTGGGCTTACTGTAAGTTTATGAAAGGGGTTACCTGAGCGTTCTAATCAAGGTAGATTATCCTTCCTCACTGGTAGTTTATTTAATCATCCCACTATGAGCCTCACTAATGGACAGTTAAATCAAAATCAAATACACCAATATAGAGGTATTAGTTTAGGAGTTTCGGCAATTTTGTTTTGGTTTTTCAGGAATAATTTAAGACCACTTCTCCACTCTGAACTCATACAGAATTTACAATGCAAGGTGCACTAGTGCATTCATAACAATACCTAGTGGAATTGTGATAAAAAATCGAGAGTGAAATACCAAAGTAAGACTTTTCTGGGCAGAGTACAAATAGAACCTGCATTTGTTTTCCCTGAAATCACATGCTGTAAGTCATGATAGTTGGTATTAATAGTGAAGATTGTGACTCACTATTTACATAGGTTAAAATAAGACACACATCATCCATAGGTAAGTGAAAAGACTGGAGCTGGACCATTCAGGCAAACACTTGAGGCAAACACTTTGCACAAGACCCCAAGACAGAGAAGAGATGGCAAACTTGTGGCATGTGGCAGACCAATCCCCAGAAAGTACTTTGTTTGGCTTATTATAAAATAGACAGGCAACAATACATCCACTATCTACCTTATCTACCTGACATTTCACATGTAAATCCAGATCCCAGCCTTAAAAACAAACCAAAGCGCAGAAGCCCAGAAGGAGGCCTGGGTCCAAAGGGACTGGGCAGCCCCCCTTTGAGGGGGACTCTGGTCTGCAGACCCACCGTCCTGGTGGAAGGCATCTGAGTCAGCCCTCCCTATCACAGAAATAGTACCATTCAAGAGACTGGTTTGCCCTTCAGGTAAGAAATATAAAAGGGGGAAAAAATGTTAGTAACCATAGGGAAATAGTCTGGCAGGTTTAAATGACAACAAAAATAAACTTTTGATGAATTTTTATTGGTTGTTGTTATGGACTGAATGTTAGTGCCCCCCACACCATTCTTATGTTGAAGCCCTTAACACCCAATGTGATGGTATTTAGAAGTGAGGCCTTGGGGGGCCGGTAATTAGGTCAGGAGAGTGGGGCCCTTGTGACGCGATTTGTGTGCCCTTATAAGAAGAGAGAGACGAGAAAGATGATTTCTCTCCACTGTGTGAGAACACAGTGAGAAGGCAGCCTTTTGTAAGCCAGGAAGAGGGACCTCACCTGGAAACCAAATCTACCAGCACCTCTGACCATGGACTTTCCAACCTCCAGAACTGCGAGAAGTAAATGTTTGTTGTTTAAGCCACCCAGTCTGTGGTATTTGTTACAGCAGCCAGAATAGACGGAGAGAGTTGTCTTACTGATGAGTTCAAGTCATCAGCGCTGAGGTGAAAACAGCACTTAATTTGGTAACAATCTAGTTCCATAAGACTCAGAAGCAGCTACAGGCAGTTCCCCATTTAGGGAGATTGTACTTTGAGAAAGTTCCTCTGTCAATTTCTGTGTACATTAGAAAAAAGGAATTTTCAAATTCCTTTGAAAAAATGTTATACAAAGGTCCCTGGGCCACCTCTCTAAAGTATTTAACCTATCATGCATCTGACCTCTGGAGAGAGGGAACCCATCACTGCGTCCCTGGGGGACAGTGAGGTCCTACATTGCTTCCCAGGCACTGGGATGAAGACTTCGGCCTCCTTACACCCCGGAGAAGGGGTTGCAACCAGGTGGTCAGGCGGAGGAGGGGGAAGGTGCGGGGTAACTCAGCCCAGGAGGACTGGGCTGCAGCGGGGCGTCCTCAGCCACCCTAAAGAAATTCACAATTCAGGATTCAGGGCCACCTCCTCCATTCCACCGGCCCAAGCAGTAAGCAGTCTTGACTTCGGCTGGAACCACCCATTGCATCTAAGAGATCTGGTTTTCTCCTTACACCGACTCCTGAACATGCCCGCAGCCATCTTGTGATAAGGCTCTAACTAGTTGATGACCCATCAGTGCTGAAACACAGCGTCCTGCTGCCTCCACACCCTTTGTCCTTTCACCCAAAGTCCTGTGGTCGGCAGGTGCTGGGAGCACTACACAGAGCCAGGTGGATGTGGCTCCTGCTGTCAAGCTCACAGGTGGCTGAAATGACAGCCAGTAACTCAAGGGAGCTAAATGGTCTGGGGCACGTGTAACAGGAGGGTCTGGTCCTGCCTGGGGTATCAGAAGGTTTCCTGGGGGGAGGGGGTTGGCCAGGCAAAGGAGAGGGTCGTCATAAATACAGCCCCCACCCCCCGACCCCTGTGCTTCCCCTGACCACCACCCTGACTGCAGTGTAATCACCTGGTTGGCTGCCCAGAGATGCAGATAAACTGGGCCCACCCCTGGAGACCATGTCACAGTAGTCCCGCCTGTAGACTGTAAACTGTTTTTAAAGCTAGTGACTGTGCCTTCTGCCCAGAAGATGGTTTCCTCACACAGCAAAATACTAATGACCAATATTTTTGAGCACTTTCAACCATCCAGTTGGATGGCACCCATTTCCGTATCTAGCAAGATACTCAAGCCTGGAGCACCCAAAGGGGTGCTAGAACCAATGGCGATGCTACTTGGTTTCAAAATCACTTGTAGTGAAATAGGGAAGACCTGCGTGGCAAGAGCAGAAGAGCAGCTGTGCCTGAAACAGTGGGTGAACTTAAGGTGACCACCACAGGTCCAGGAACCCTTTGTATATGGTGACATTTTAGACTATAACTGTTGAAATGTTATTTTAAACTGCTCTATTTTCCCCAAAAGGAAATGTTTTAGTAGTTTACTCTAAAGTTACATCAGGGAACTATACTCAATCTTTTGTAATAACCCATACGGGAAAAGAATCTGAAAAAGAATATATATATGTGTATACATATATATGTATGTGTATATATATGTATGTATAACTGAATCACTTTGTTGTACACCTGAAACACAACACTGTAAATCAACTATACTTCAAAAAAAAAAAAAAAAAAAAAAAAAAAAAAAAACAACCCAAAAAAAAAATATGGGCAAAAGTCTTGGGTAGATAGTCCTTAAAAAAAAAAAAAAAAAAAAAAAGAAAAGAAACACACAGGCCAAAAATAAAGTTACATCAAATTCTTATAATATCTGCTATATTCTGACTTTTCCCCCACTATGAAATGCCATTTCATACCACAGAATAACACAGGGTGCACGCCAGGGAAGTTTACACAAAATAAACGTGGCCTTGCCCTGGCCTGGTCTTCCTCCAGTGTCCTAGACCAGGACTTCAGCTAACAGAGCAGGAGGTTCTTTATGCATAATACATTAATCTCAATTTTAACACTGTGTAAAATGACGAATTTCCTATACGATTACATAAAGTAACTTCCTTGAATCATTACCAAAACAAATTCTTCACGTGCCAAGATCAGTAATATGAAGCCTCAGTGAAAAATTTTAAGATTCAGGAGAGAGCAGGGAAAATTGTGATGAATCTCAAAAAGGGGACAATGACACCTTTCAATAAAGGAAAGGGAAAAAAACACCCTCTCCTTTATGGTAGACACTAGGCATGTGTGGCCTTTTTAGATTTAAAATTAAAGTAGGGTTTCCCTGGTGTTGCAGTGGTTAAGAATCTGCCTGCCAATGCAGGGGACACGGGTTGGAGCCCTGGTCCAGGAAGATCCCACATGCTGTGGAGCAACTAAGCCCGTGTGCCACAACTACTGAGCCTGCACTCTGGAGCCCGTGAGCCACAACTACTGAGCCCATGTGCCACATCTACTGAACCCGCGCACCTAGAGCCCGTACTCCGCAACAAGAGAAGCCACCCAATGAGAAGCCTGTGCACCGCCATGAAGAGTAGCCCCTGGCTTGCTGCAACTAGAGAAAACAGCAATGAAGACCCAATGCAGCCAAAAATAAAATAAATTTATAAAAAATAAAATTAAATTAAAGTAAAATAAAAATTTCAGTTCCCAAGTCCCTCACTGGATATTGCAAACAATTCAATTACTGCAGGAAGTTGTACTGGACAGCACTGGACTTAAACCTGAGAGAAACCACCTCTTGGAATTATATCTGGACACACTGATGCATTACTGCTGGTGCAAAGGAAAGCCCTGCATGCCGATCTGCTCTTTCATGTCCTACAAATGGTATGAGACATTTACTTTCTGGGCCTCTGAATTGACACTGGCTGATTTTTTTTAACCATGCCACTATACTTCAGGCATGTGTCAGTTTTCATTTTCTGATGGTTACAAAGACCAGGCTAAGTCACTCCTACCTTATTTCTGAACCAAAGTAGAACCCAACCGGTCTGCTCCCACAGGTTAACCTCACAGAAGAGAGCACATCACGTGAAGTTACCAAAGGAGATGTTTGCTGTGGCCACTAACAGGGGCACTCTGCAACTTAGAAACCTAAGCCAGAAGACACGTCCTCCTAAAGAAATAATACTGTAAATATAAACAGTTCTTATTTACCTCAAAACAACTGCAGGTTAGTACTATAGCTTCTGGGTTCTGAGGACAAGTGAATTCTTCACTTCTTTCCTGAGAACAGGGTCCTGGTCACCACGTGGCTGACAAGAGAGGGTGTCTTGGATCAACTGCTCTGCAGCGCTTAGGTGGGGAGGGGGCGGTGAGGGAGTGAGAGGTCAGGGCC